AACTCCTTCTATAACTACGTCGTGGGTGACTTCAATGCAACAATCGGAAGTTAGAAGAATGGGAGCACAGGATCGAGAGATTTGGATCAGGACTCCGGAATGAGAATGGTAACCGCCTTGTTGGGCTCTTATCCGCAGCACGACTTTTTCACGGCAACTCCATGGGAGTCACCCAATGGTACGACTCATGCGGAGATCGACCACATTCTCAACAACCGAAGGTGGTGCTTACTGGACGTCTCAGTGGTACCATCCTTCAGTAGTGGTTCAGATCACCGCCTCGTTCGAGCAAAAGCAGGATTCAGCCGAAAGCTGGAAAAGAAGATCTACCACCGTGTTAGAGGAAGGAGAGAAGTCGTATATGACGGCCGAGAAGCTGGAAAAGAAGATCTGCCACCGTGTCGGAGGAAGGAGAGAAGTCGTATATGACGACGTCAGGTTGGGACTGGAAAAGAAGATCTATCACCGTGATAGAGGAAGGAGAGAAGTAGTATATGACGGCGTCAGATTGAGCTTCTGAGCACTTGTGACTGGCCCATCGAGGAGGATCCGACGAAACACTACGTTCTGCTTCTTAGAGGACTGAGACCCCGTGGTGAAAGCGCCAGTGCCTCGCACAAGGAACTTGGGACGAATTTCGAAAGCCACCAAGCATCTGCTAGAGAGAAGAGCACTGAGGCTGGATCCGACTGCAACACATCTCGAGCGACTGGTAGCCAATACCAGTTGCAGATCAGCTTTGCAAGAAGACCTCCGAAAGTGTGTTTACAACACTACTAAACGAAGACGGGACTCGCACACCTTCTCGACAAGAGATGGAATCGATCACGATGAGATTCTACACCGATCTCTTCCGCTCATCAACACCCGTGTCAAACCCCGTTATTCCCACTGGACAAATACCACCAAGGTTCTACCTGCTGAAGTACGCGCCGCAATCAAGACCATGAAGGCAGCCACGACTCCAGGACCGGAGCACATTTCGGCCGATCTCTTACGAGCTGGAGGACATCGCCTACACGAGATACTTGCGGAACATCCAACTTCCTACCTTCGAAAGGAAAGAATCCCCGACCAGGGTAGAACCTCCCGAACAATCCTTCTACATAAGGTGATAGGGATGATCTTCGGAACTACTGTCCAATATGCCTGCTGAGCGTGCTTCACAAGCTCTTTACGAAGATTATTCTCGCTCGCATATCAAGGACACTGGATGAAGCCCAACCTGTACAACAAGCTGGAATTTGCCAGTGATTCAGCTGTGTCATATTCAGACAGTTTCGAAGATAATCGAGGTTCGCCGAGAGTACCGCCTACCTCTCGTCCTAACCTCCGTTGACTATGAGAAAGCATTTGACAGCGTCGAGACTAATGCGATACTGTCAGCGCTAGTCCAAGGGGTGGATTCATCTTACGTGAGGACATTAGCCGACTGCTACAAACGCTACGCGGTATAGCTTTTCCATCGTCCTCTTGACATACCAATCTCGAAGGGGGGTCGACAAAGCGACACCGTGTCGCCAAAGCTGTTTACCGCCGCGTTGCAGTGGGTGATGAAATCACTGGATTGGGGCGAGAGAGGTATACGAGTTGATGGGAGATTCCTCGCGAACCTTCGTTTTGCGGACGACATTCTCGAAAAGTATCACTAAAGCGGAGACGATGTTGAAGGAACTAAACGGAGTAGGGAAGCAGATAAGACTGCGAATAAGCCAGAAGAAGACTCAGTTCATGAAGAACGCTTTTTGCGAGGAACAGAAAATGGAAT